TTGCAATTCCAGTAAAAGCATGAACTGACAAAATTCATATGGAAGAATTTCATATGAATGAAGGACTATGAGGCTAAGGACCACATAGGCTGGCCCTAGACACTGAGTGCCCTGGCTCACTCCACTGTTTAAGTACCCAGCTATGGTGATATTTCCTACGGCAGCCAGGCTAACACACCTACTCCACTCCTGTGCCATTTCCCTAATTTAACCTGACCGTTGCCTTCTGCTCTTTCTTATGTAACAGGAGCCCTGGCAAATGGCACAGACCCATGACTTAAACAACGGTCTGACTTCTCACTATTCACTGTCATGGAAGAGAGAGATCTCTGTGGCCTCTTCCTCTTTGTATAAGGACAACAGTAGTATCAGATAAGAATTTGGGGGGCTGGGACACAATTCTGCCCATAGCAGGTGAAAATCTTCCTCTACACACAGAAAGATACGTTCTAAAGCTATACTGATAGAATAGTGTTATTATTCCAGGTACCGAAGCCACTGGAATAAAGTAGAGAGCATAGAAGATTCACGTGTATGGAAATTTCACATATGACAGAGATGATATTAAATTTAATGATTACAGATGGGGCAATTCATTAGGCGCTGTCCAGGCACCAGGCCACTGACACAGAAAAATAGTTAATACAATCCTAGATATTCTAGCATAAAAATCAATTATGGATGGAATAAAAACTATGTAAAAAGTTATATCTAGAATATACTTTAAAAATTATGCAAATCAGTAAGAATGAGACAAATATCCTTATGAAAAATGGACAAAATATAGTCTATTCTGGTTATTCGCAGTAGTTATTTTTTAATAGTCATCACAAACAATTAGCAAACACTGAGCCATTGCTCTTGGGGAAATACAGAGATAGTGTTCTGTAAGTCCGTGGTTATCCATTTGCACCAGTCGATCAATACAGAATCTGTTTAATGTGTGCCTCTATTTAAAGACATGTCATTTAATAATGTGAGCTGATGATTCATTACCATTGAGCTCACAGCCACCATGACTCACACCTGAAGGAAGCTTAGCTACTGAAGGCATGTCCTCCATAGGACACACCCCAGCCTTCTGGAGCTTAGGAGCATGAGATGGCAATTCAGCTCTACACTTGGTGCCATTCCAAACAGCAAAATCACCAAGAAAAAGCCCCAACTGGAAACAGACAGCACAAGAGCCTTGTTCACAGTAGGAGAGCTCCAACATGAGGAAAGGCCTGGCTGGGGACCTGTGCGTGGGTGGTGCACATTTTTCACTGCTCTGCACATGTCCACAAGTGACTGTGAAAACACCCCGAAATCCTGACTTTGGGGTTACAAAGAAATTTCAGTGAGTAGAAGAATACTCAGGTATGGAATCCACAAATGAAAAAGACAGACTGTATAGGAACAGGCAATTCAATAGCTATCAAACCAACAAAATACATTCAACTTCACTACTTACTGATGGGATCAAAGGTAAAACTACTATTTGACACTCAAGACATCCACAAAATTTTAAGTTCTGATATTACCATGTGCAAGAAAATGTGGGGAAATGACTTGTGCTTTGCTGGTGGGCTATGAATTCCACAGCCACTCTGGAGGGCAATCCAGTCACACCTGGCAAATTCGACTCCAGATGTCTGTCGCTGGGGGACTCTTGCCCACAAAGACAAAAAGACATGGACAGAAGTTCATGTGAGACAGTATGTACTAGTGAAAAAAACCTAACTTTCACACACAGGGCACATGGATGATTACAGTGGGATTGACTCACAGAATGTTATATTGTATATTCATTAAAATGAGCATAACCTACACGAATTACCATGGACTACCAGGTTGGAAAATCCTTCTCACCAACAAAAAAGACCATACCTATGTGCTATTTACAAGAGACCTACTTATTAAAACAGAACACAAAGTTGAAAAAAAGTGGTACAGCAATAGTAAAAGAAGCTCCTAGCAAATGCAACTAAAAAAAAAGAAAGTAGGTGTAACAGCATTATTGTTCAGCAAAACTGAATTCAAGCCAAGAAAAGCATAAAAAGGGATATAAAAACAAAAACAGAATGGACCACTTTCATGTGTCTTCAGATGTCTACACCCATGAGGACAAGATACTTTCAGCAACACACTTAACACACGTGATCTAATACATGAATCAATTTATGTGTGACCATCAGAGCACACTTATTTAATTGAAACAACAGGAAATATTCACAAATATGGACCATATCTAACTGGTCACAAAGAAAATCTCAACAAATTACCAAAAGTAAAATACATCCCAAATTTACTGATAAAATCAGAAAATAACACAAATTAAAAGCCTATGTGCCTGGGCAGAAAAAGATGTAGTCAAACTAGTATTCAGAGGATACTTTGTAGTTATAAACAATTTGTTTGAAAGTTTAAAATGACTGATAAAACTTACTTTTTCAAGAAGTTAGAATGACATAGAGATAACTTGAACCACTACACACACACCAGAATGGTTCAACTTATAAAGACTGGTGAGACCAAATGTAGGTGAGCAAGTGCAGGGACCCGCGGTGAGGGTGGAAAGCAGCCCAGCCACCTTTGGGAAAGGTCTGGTATTTCTTACAAAACTCAGCACATGAACGCTCCCTAAGCCAGCAATTCTACTCCTACAAATTCATACCCAACAGAAATGAAAGTATGTCTGCAAAAAACCGGTATGAGAATATCCAAAGTAGCTTATTCATACTAGTCAACAGACACAATCTGCTCATGTGTCCATCAACAAAACGAATAAACCAACTGGTAGAGTCATACAACGGAACACTATTCCACAGTAAAACGCTGTGACCCACTGATACACGTGCAACATAGATGAGTCTGGAAACATTATGCTAAGTGAAGGAAGCCAGGCTTCAGTGGCTTTGTGCTGTAGGATATCATTTCTATGAAGTTCTAAGACATGCAAAATAGTCCATGGCAGAGAAAAATCAGAACAGTGGTTGCCTGGAGAGGAGGGGAGTTGACTACGAAGCTTAATGATGGAACTTGCTTGAATGATAGGATGTTCTGTGCCTGGAGAGGGGTTTGGGTTGCCAAGGTTTTGCATCTCTTGGACTTTATTGATGGAATATTAAAATTTGTGCATTTCATTGCATGCAAGTTTTGATCCAGAAAGAAGAAACAAGAGCCCTCAGAGAGTGAGCCCTTTAATGATTCCCACGCTGAAATACTTCAGGGTAAGTGTACAGATGCCGGCAACTCATTGTGAAATGCATCAGAAAAGTAAGATGGACTGATGTGCAGAGACAGATGGTAAGATAAACAGTGAAGTGAGCACAGAAGAACGTGAACGGTGGGGTCTAGTTGGTAGGTGTGTTACTGGATGTGCTCACCATAAAATTCCTTCCACTTTCCCGTATCTTTGAAATTTTGCATAATAAAAATATTAGGAAAAAAAGAACATCTCAAAGCAGAAAAAAGGGGTCTTTGATAGGACAATTCAATTCAGACATTAATTTTCACCCAATTTATCTCAAAACTCATTGTAATTCCAATCAAAATACCATCAGAATTTTTCAAGGAAATTAGGGTGTTCTTTAACAAGACACAACATAGAATCCCGCATGGTAATTATTGACAAAGGACAGAAAATTTAGTTTCTATAAGATCAAGAAATAAGACCTAAATAATTGTTGGAAATCATTAGAAGATGAGGCTTGCAAGGGCAGTGGGCCAGGGCCATGACGAGACAGCTGGCAGAGTGGCCACCAGTGCCAGGACCAGAGGCCCCTGCTGATGGGGCCAGAATAAAGCTGTGGGTGCCCATTTCCTCCCTCAGAGCAGCAGAACAAACAGATGGAAATCCCCGGGAAGAGGAGGAGACACAGGCCTCGCGGGCTGTGGCAGGGAAGGGACGTGCACACACACACACACACCCCTCACAGGCTGGCTACAGAGGTGCCTCCTGAGCTCCTGCACAGTCCACCCTTCAGACACCCCCATTAGGAGAACTGTCTCAGGAGCAGACAGGGAGGCTCCTGCAGATAAGGAAAAGAAGAAATCCCCTTACCACGGGCACAGTCTCTGGACAGAGACCAGCAGGGAATTTAAGCCACAGTGACACACGTGTAATTAAACATGCTAAGTACAGCATTGCTTATGTAAACAAGTGAGTAAGATGAGCTGACATATCTCCTGGGTGCATATACGTGCTGACTGGGGAGGAAGGCCCTGGTCTGGCACATCCACATGACAACGGAGGGTCCTGGGACACAGGCGGAGAGGTGCGGTCGACAGACTTCCACTTTACCAGAGCCTCCCGAATTATTTAGAGGGCTGGCCCATGTAATCCAATTAAAAATAAGACAAATGTAAAAATATTGTTACATGTTTGTATAAAATCTAAATATGTAAATATATTTGATATTTATATGCTTCAAAAATTACAACTAAATGTTATTTACAATATACTATATATATTTCTATTATATAATACCTATAGAAATTACATAAAAGGAGTTACATTAGAAATTACATAAGATATAAAAGAAAAGATTACAATAGTTTGACTTTCGAAAAGACTTACACCTTTTCTGAGGTCGGAGACCCACCTGTGGTGGAGGCTGCCCCGAGGCCCAATTACAGAAGGGGTTACAGAGGCAATCACAGAGTGCTGGGGTTTCAGTAAACTGCCTCCCTCTTTCCAAAAGGAGTTGGAGGCCAGGGTCCTGGTGGCCCCGGCAAGCCGGTCTATGAGCTTACACTCTTTCCAGTGGCCCCACAGGGTCACCGTTCCTTAAAGGAGCGAACACTTAGTTTTCAGGACATGTTTTCCCTGACACTAAACATGGGAAATATAATCATCTTCCAGCCCAAAGCCAGCACCCTCCCATCCTTGTGGGAAGTCCAGCCAACTTCTAGCAACTTTGGCAAAGACATGCATTTTCTGGATTTAAAACCTGGATTCTTACATAAAGGAAATCCTCAGAAAATGAGAAAATGGCTTGAGGAAAATAGATACTTACTGAAAGTTATGATTTGGGCTGTGTGTTGGCCCTAAAAAGAAAAAGGCATGTTATGAATATTTCATGATTTGGAATAAACCTTTTTTCCAATCCAGCAATGGAGAAGGCGTTTGCAGTCCAGGGCGCTGATTTGCGGTGAGCTGTCCCGGGGCCCAACTCTGGCCCTGCCCATAATCATATGCCAGGGACGGGGAAGCCACAGAGAACCAACGTTTGGAGATGTTTCTGGGGTTCTGTGCCCTTTCCTCCCTCCCCTCATCTAACCTTGACTCACCAGCTCTATTTTACTGATTGGTGACAGAATGGCTGGGCAGTGAGGGGACCTTCTCACTGCGATGAAAGGGGACACATTCCCCCCCACCGTTCATTCCGCCCCCACCTGTGACTAGCACCTGGATGCAGAACTGTCAGCACGCTCTGCTCTCTGCACTCCCCTCAGCTGGCCCAGGCTCCTGTGGGTGGGTGGGTGCCTCATTACGGCCCTAGGGCCGTCCTGCCCTGTGCGGACAGCAGGCAGCCTCCCCCAAACCTCAAGCCTCCCCTTTGTGTCTGGGCTGGTTTTCCACACTCCAGGTTTACAGAGCACCATGGGTCTTCTGTTACTAGTAAACGGGTAGCAGCCTAACCTGGGACTTGGTGCTCAATGGAGAGACCTCGGGGGAGCGTTTTGCTCATTCCCTTTCCGCTGCCTCGTTCAAACTGCCACCCATCTCCTGCTGGGGGTGTGAACCTTCCTACAGGGTCACCGACACGCCTGGAGGCCCCGACTCACCAAGCCGCACAAACAGGACTCCGGTGGCGGTGATGGTCTTCACCCCGTTGGTGGCCACGCACTGGTAGTAGCCAGTGTCCGTCGTGTCCAGGTCCTGGATGCGCAGCCGAGAGCCATACTCTGTCTTGCGGATAATGACCCGGCGCGGCTCCTGCACCACGGGGGCATCGTTCTTCAGCCACCGTACGCTGGGCGGCGGGTTTCCGGCCACCTTGCAGTGCAGAATTGCTGTTTGGCCTTGGACTATGGTGATATTGTTTACTGGCTCCAGAAAATTCAGAAAGTAACCTGCAAAGGAGGAGGTTAGAGAAGAGCAGAGCTCAGAGGCGGCTGGAAGAAGGGGCTGTGGGGGCTCCTTGTGCAGACCGCCTGGAGGGTTTCCCTTTCTTCCCCCACACGGTCAGGCCATTCCGTTACAGTGGCACTTACGTCCTAGAATGATGCCAAGAACCGTGATTAGCAGATACAGAACCCCTGTTCCCTGCCAGGTTCCTACGGGTCTCAGGTCACACACAGCATTTCTGTCAACAGATCCAGGCACAGCCTCAGGTTGTGTGTGTGTTTAAAGACACCTAGTTTAATGTGTACTGTCGGTTCATGAACATGGAGCTCACAAACCCAGACAGCACTTCAGCTCCATGACTGGCATTTTAAACAGCAAAGTCACTAAGTGAGAAAACATAGGCCTACACAGGCTGCAAGGACAGGTGTCTGCAGTTTGAGCGAGGTAGTAGGGAAGAAACTCAGCTGTGCCTCCGGCAATTCAAAACGTCAGAAATGATCAAAGAAGCGCTGTGGACACTGGCGGGGGTTACAAATATGTCCAGGGGAGCAGGCGAACGTGCAAACATGGACCCTGCAAACATCGGGGCCAAATGCTCTTCTCCCTGCAGCACTGCCTAGTCGAGACTCGTCTCACTACTCCGGGAAGTAAATCCACGCTCAGGACGTCCATCCTCCCTCCCACAATGCCACGAAGCCGCAACAAGGAGAGGTGGAGAGAAACGCCCTGAAGCAGGTGAATCACGGGCCTGCACGGGAGGGAGGGGCAGGGGCAGAGCAGGAGACTCTGCCCTGGGGGGCCAGTCGGGAGCAGGAGGAAGCCAGTGGGCAGAGCGGGCCCAGCAGTCCATGGACCAAGAGTGAGCAGGCCTGGCGTTTGATCTGCTCCAGGATGCGTGGCCAGTTCAACCCTGGCAGGAGTCTCCCCTGGGGCAAATCCCAGGGGCACAGGAGGAAGTCGGGATCCAGGAGGAGAGTGGATGTGGGGGGGTGCAATGTGTGTGGTGTATGTCAGGGTCTCTGAGCTCCTCTCCATCAAGATGAACATGCATGCTAAAATTCCATTAACATATTAAAAAATCATCATCAGATGAATTCACTCTAGATAAAACCAGGTTACAGCAATATGAAAATGACAACAGAATATATACACCTTCTGAAACTTACGGCTTGATTTCTGGTTGGTACCTATTTTTTTTTTAAATGAAGTTACAGGATGAGAGATTGCATATATCTGTTATGACTGACTGACTGACTGACTGACTGACTGACTGACTGACTGGGTGAAAAGTTACGAGACTTCTAGTGGCCCCGTGGAGAATTTCAAATGGTGGGTGAGGCCCCTAGATGCCGGGTGGTGGAAGGTAGCTGAGTGGGTGGGAGGCTGTGGATTTGGAGAATGCACAGTTTTCCTCCACAAGGGAGCATGGATAGAGATCTGTCTGGACATTTGTTACTAATATTTTTTTATTAAAGTATTGATATATAATCTTATGAAGGTTTCACATAAGCAACATTGTGGTTAAAACATTCACCCATATTATCAAGTCCACCCCATACTCCATTGCTGTCACTGTCCATCAGCATAGTAAGATGCTATAGACTCATTACTTATTTTCTCTGTGCTATACCTCCTTCCCCATGTTCCCTACATTATGTGTGTTAATCATAATATCCTTTAATCCTCTTCTCCCTCCCTCCCCACCTAACCTCCCCCACCCCTCCCTTTGGTAGTTGCTAGTCCCTGCTTGAGAGTCTGGGAGTCTGCTGCTGTTTTGTTCCTTCATTTTTGCTTTGTTTTATACTCCAGAAATGAGTGAAGTCATTTTGACTTGTCCTTCTCCACCCTGGCTTATTTCACTGAGCATAATACCTTCTAGCTCCATCCATGTTGTTGCAAATGGTAGGATTTGTTTTCTTTTTATAGCTGAATAATATTCCATTGTGTGTATGTACCACATCTTCTTTACCCATTCATCTACTGATGGACACTTAGGTTGCTTCCATATCTTGCCTATTGTAAATAGTGCTGCCATAAACATAGGGGTGCATATGTCTTTTTGAATCAGAGATCTTGTTTTATTGGGTAAATTCCTATAAGTGGAATTACTTTGTCAAACATATTTTTATCTTTAGTTTTTTGAGGAACCTCTATACCATTGGTTTGAGGAACCAAACCTTTGCTTTCCACAATGGTTGAACTAATTTACATTCCCACCAGCAGTGTAGGAGGGTTCCCCTTTCTTCGCATCCTTGCCAGCATTTGTTGTTCCTTGTCTTTTGGATGTTGGCCATACTAACTGGTGTGAGGTGATATCTCATTGTGGTTTTAATTTGCATTTCTCTGATGATTAGTGATGTGGAGCGCCTTTCATGTGCCTGTTGGCCATCTGAATTTCTTCTTTGGAGAAGTGTCTGTTCAGGTCCTCCACCCATTTTCTAATCAGGTTACTTGTTTTTTGGGTGTTGAGGCATTTGTATATTTTGGGCGTTAACCCCTTATCAGATGAATTGTTTATGAATATATTCTCCCATACTATAGGATGCCTTTTTGTTCTGATGGTGTTCTTTGCTGTATAGAAGCTTTTTAGTTTAATGTAGTCTCACTTGTTCATTTTGCTTTTGTTTCCCTTACCCGAGGAGATGTGTTCAGGAAAAATTTGTTCATGTTTATATTCAAAAGATTTTTGCCTGTTTTCATCTAAGAGTTTTATGGTTTCATGACTTAACATTTTACATTCACATCTTTGATTCATTTTGAGTTTACTTTTATATATGGAGTTAGACAACAATCTAGTTTCATTCTCTTACATGTAGCTGTCCAGTTTTGCTAACATCAGTTGTTGAAGAGGCTGTCATTCCCCCATTGTATATCAATGGCTCCGTTATCATATATTAGTTGACCATATATGCTTGGGTTTGTATCTGGGCTCTCTATTCTGTTCCACTGGTCTATGGGTCTGTTCTGCCAGTACCCAATTGTCTTGATTACTATGGCTTTGTAGTAGAGCTTGAAGTTGGGGAGCATAATCACCCCAGCTTTGTTCTTCCTTCTCAGGGTTGCTTTGGCTATTTGGGGTCTTTTGTGGTTCCATATGGATTTTAGAACTATTTGTTCTAGTTTGTTGAAGAATGCTGTTGGTATTTTAATAGGGATTGCATTGAATCTGTAGATTGCTTTAGGCAGGATGGCCATTTTGACAAAATTAAGTCTTCCTATCCATAAGCACAGGATAGATTTCTACTTATTGGTGTCTTCCTTAACTTCTCTCATGAGCGTCTTCACATGTCACTAAGTAGCACTGGTTATGATGTATGGTTATAGGTAACAAACCCCTTAGGTTCTACCTGGATTCTCTCCTAGCCAACCCTCCCTCAACACCCTGAATTAAGTTGTAGAAGAGAATTCTCATGGGTGACACAAAGCTGGAGGTAGCTGGCATGCCAATGACAACCCCGGAGAAGACGGGCTATGTCCAGCAGGGTGGCATCTGGATGTAAGCTCTTCATTAACCTCACCGCAAAGTTTAGCTTGGGGAGACCCACATTCCTGAGCCTCCCACACTAGACCCTGTGTCTCCAGTTCAAAGTCCAATCTGGTTTGATGGTCTGAAGCAGTTACTTTGATGGGATCTGGCAGACACATTGTTTCACTGTGTTCTGGGCAGAGCCCATCTTAATCAGAGGGTTTCCTTCCAAGCACTTGCAAGCTGCTTAATATTCAAATACTTCTTTCAGGTCTCATTAACACTAAGTGCATGGTAGGACACATAAAAGAGTCATCAAATCATAAATTAAAACAGCAAATGACATATTAAAGTCACAATGATCTCTTCCACTTGGCATAAACTAAAAAATAATTCTCATCTCTCCACTAACGACAGTTCCTTCAAAGACCTGACAAGCCATAGCTTCTGGGCGGACGCATGCAACTGCCATCCTATAAAGGCAGAAGGCGAGGCTCTGTGTCTCTGAGCTGACTAGCAAAGGTGTACAAGGAGCAGGCCCAGGGTTCTGATGGCTGGGGCCCAGTGGTCACCATGCACTCTCATGTCACCCATCTGGGGGCTGGCTGAGAGCAGTTCTGCCCCCCCTTCCTCCCTTCTTAGGGCATCTGCATACATCAGCATGGAACATCTCTAAGGATGGGCTAAATCTCTTAAAAACTGCAGAATGATCTTCGAAATAGAAAAACCATTTGTCTAGGGAGAGTGGGGAGTACTCAAAATATAAAGTTAAAGAGACCATTCCTTTTGTACAGCCTAGAAGGAAACCTGGGGAGAACTCAGGCCTGCACAGTCAGAACAAGACCCTCAGAATGGACTTCTTTTCAAGAATATCTTTTTTACATAGAATCGGGAAGGAAATATGGAATTCTTCATTCTGCCAGCCAATAGCTCCTCCTACACCCTTGACCAACACACTGACCACTGTTTGTCTTTCTGTGTCCCCCAAGAGGGGATGCAGAGCAGGAAGGAGGATGAGCTTCTACCTGCTCTGCCCTCCATGTGGATAAGGAGAGCTCGGTGCTAACCCCAATCCCCCAGGTGGGATGCTGTGAAACCATCTCCTGGAGGCACAACTCAGGTTAATGCCAGGATGGAGCCAGTATTTCCTGTTCAGATGCTTTTGTAACAACAGCCAACATGAAGAAATCCACATGTGCTTAAGTCCAGCACCATGTATCGTTGGTTCACTCATTAAAAAACTCTTCACTCTGCTTATATGAAACACCCAAGAACAGGTAAATCTACAGAAACAGGAAACAGATTAGTGGCGGCTGCCAGAGGCGAGGGTGGGGAAATCAGGGAGTGGCCCTCACTGGGGGCCATCTCCCTGTGGGGCGATGGAAATCTCTGGAACTAGAGATGGCGATGGTCACACGACATTACAGACACAGCCCTGGGCTCAGGAAATGCCCCCTGAGGAGGGATGGGCAAGGTGAGGCCAGGTGGACAAACCAGGTAAGAACAGGGGGTGGCTGGGGGAGGTATCACGTAAAGGGC